CTGTTTTATTTTTTGACAGTGCCATGTCCTACGTTAGTGTGTCTACTTTTGCTTCAATAATTGATCAATGATCAATACTTTTTTCAGTAGAGGTTATCTTAGCTTCTGCACAGGCCATCTCCACTGCACTTCACCGTTTCAATAAGCTCACTCATTCACAGCAGTGTCGGCATCTTGAGTCCTTTATTAAATTCAACATGGCTCGCCCCGCTAGCCGTGACATAAGATGTGAAAACAATATCCAAAAAACATGAGACAAACAGGGAATAGTTTTAAGGTGCAGGGCCAACAAACTGAGTCTAGCCATAACTCAGAGTTGATTGAATTAGCATTTTGAATTGGCTGATCTGAGTTACTTCAATCAAGTCTATGTTCACTTTGAGTTAAGATTATACGTGATTGATGTAAAAGAAAAAAGCCATCATCAGCAACTGATTCTGATTTAGCAGGTTTTCAAATCTAAACGGTACCCATCCCTAGCTGGCTGTAGTTAAACCTTTACTTAAAAAGCATCCCTAGACCCAGCTGTCTTAGCTAATTATAGGCCATCTCCAACCTGACAATCCTTGAAAGAGTAGTTGGGGGAGACAATCAGAGGGGCAGCGTGATGATCTTAGGTTACAAACTACCGCAGTCAAGTCATTAAGGGAAACAGGATCAAACTGCTCTAAGACAGCTGAGCACACAGAAAAGACTCGGATCTGAGGCAGCAGTCGGCGAGACAAGAGCCCTAATAGATAGAAGCTTGTTAAAAATGCTAAAAAATCATCACAAATACTTGGTGAAGAAATGACTCCGACATTGTCACGTGAACGAAGAAAACGATTGAGGACATTAAAAAGTACCTGAGGCCTGTGACTGTTTACTGACACTAAGTTTAAGACTAACTGTGTCTGCAGTTTTTACAGCTTCTTGGTGAGCAGAAAGACAGAAAGTCTTTAAAATCTGTAGAGAAACATACAATCTGTCCTTTTTCCATCTCCTTTTGGCGCGTCTACAGTCACGTCTAAGGGAGCGCGTATGTTCATTCAGCTTGAACATTTTGTGCTACAAAATGTCTGCAACAAGACCAACTCACATCTTCACAACACCAAGAATTTTTCCCCTTTTCTTTGGAGAAACTGAGAAGCCAATAGGATTGTAGCTCAAACTTGCCCACAGTCCTGCTTCATCACTGCTCACTCCTACCTGCGTTGGTGCTGAGTGGACAGTCATAGCCTGCTGCTAGCATGAATGCTAAATGTACTGCTGTGGATGATCAGCAGAAAAACATGTGGTCAGTTTGACTGTTTGCTGTATTTAAAGTGTTTTTCTCAGTTCGTCTGTATTCAAAGTGCATTCGGGGCTTTAGCTGACAGCTCTTTGTGCTAACAAACTAAACTCTCTTAGTTTAAGCCAACAGACTTTACCAAACACAAAGCCTGCTGCTGCCTCCATGGGTTAGCTTGTGTGACTGGTGTTACACCAATGAAATCTAAATCACACTAATGTGTCCTCCAAGGTGTTTGGTGGGAGCACTGAGTGAAACATAAGAGCTCTGGTAAAATAACAAACAGGGCTGTGAGAGCAACTGAAGTGATAAAAATACTGTTTAAAGATAAAAAAACTTTGATGTTCTCTCGTCACCTAACAAAGTCCAAACCCTGTGAACTATTTGAGCTTTAATAATTGTGGATTCAGGTATCCTGAACCCATCTTTGGACATTTGTAGTTAAATATTTTAAAACTCCATCAGAGACTCCTGATGTGGCTGTTTGGAGAAGGAAAAGAGGGACAAAGTGGAGCGTCGAGCTGAGGCTTCATTCACTGCAAACCTACAGTTATGTTTCTTATTTCTGCTGTTTGCATGTTCACAGCTGAAATAAAGCTGCCTCTTTGACTTCATCCTGTTGTGTTTGGGTCCAATCCTGCCTGCCACACAGCGCTACAGGACAAAGTCTAATATTTTTATCTTTTTAATGAATCTTTGGTCATATTTATCCAGGAAAACACAAACATGTAAAGGAGTCATCACAGTTCTCTGACCTCGTTGGTCCAGGTTCACCACTGAAGTTTGGAGGGTGAGGCATGGACCAGTCACTCCTCACAGACGGACAGCTGGATCCTGCAGACTGTGACCTCTGACCTCTGCAGACACAAACATGTTTTATTCAATGATCAATTCTCTGATGAAGTGATTGAAGCAGCTGTGGTCACACAGACTGCAGATAATGCAGCTGTTTCCTGTCAGTAACAGTCCTCTTAGATTAGAGTTCAGCTTTTTACAGGAAAACAAATGTCCCTGAATGCAACAGTGAGACACAGTCTGCCTGTGTGGCTGTGATAGCTGCCGTTAGGAGCGCTCATGTGTTTGCAGTTAGACGAGGAGATGTTACCATCATGGACACGTTAACAAATCCTGCAGCATCACGTGGCACAAACACTTTGTGTTCCTGTCATCTGCAAGCAACAGGAAGTTCATTAATAAAGGCGGGATGGAGACGCGACTGTGATGGTTCTCCTTCATCCAGCTGTTACACACATCTGGGCTCACACGACGAGCCTTTGTCTAATACAGCAGCTGCTCTCTGAACACTTTTCTGAAGAGGAGCTGCACAAACCTTTGTTTGCTTTCTAGAGCAGCGTATCAAAGTCAAACTACCCACTGCTAGCAGCTGTTTCTATCATAGTTTAGGATCCAGATGTGTGAGGTCTAGATTTACACCTCTGATTAAAATACATAGTTAAAAACAGCCAATTGTGTCCAAATGTGTCTTAAACCAGATAAACTGACAGTTACAGCTGAGCCTGTGTGTCCTTGGAGACACTGCTCTGCTACAGAGATGCATTTTAGAAACCAGGAAACATCAAAATCATTTAAATCAGAGAGTTCATGTTACCTGGTCGAGGCGCCTGTGTCCGGCAGCCTCGCCTCTGTCAGTGCGCCCCAGGGCAGCTGTGGCTACAATGTAGCTTGCTATCGCCAGTGTGTGAATGTGTGTGTGAATGGGTGAATGACTGAATGTAGTGTGAAGCGCTTTGGGGTCCTATGGACTAGAAAAGCGCTATACAAATGCAGGCCATTACTAACAGCTCACCTCTCTTTAGACCAGTCACTCTTACAGGACACAGAGCTGGGTGGAGGTCCAGGCTGGTTCCTGTGAATAATGATGGAGCAGTGATGTGAGTGCTGAGCTGTGACATGGAGAAGAGTCATGGACAGTTAGAGATGGTCATCTCACCTCTGAGCTTTGGTCTGGCTCTCATGTTCCCACACAGAGTGCTTTTAGAGGGAGGGACTCCCTCCTCTCTGTCCTCACACTGATCCATGCTGCTCAATTCACATCAGCTCACACACACTTTCTACCTTCACCTGCAGAGGAAACACAAATCAGCCCAGCGACACACTGACTGACCCACTCATGATGATTAATTCAGACACGTTTTAATCCCCAAAAGTTGATTCTGTTCATCTGGATGTTTTCAGTGGGAGAAACGTTTCATGACTCATCCAGGTGACTCCTTCAGTCTCAGCTGACTGCAGGTTTCCAACCTTATAAACAGGACATTTGCACAATGGCTGGGAAGTCATGACCATTGATCAACAACCACTGATCAATGGCATGAGTCCCATTCACAGAGAGTTGGGGAATGTCTGCAATCACAGCATTACTAACCTAACCCTTACCTGGATGATTGAGCATCCAGACACTTTTTAATATTTTACTAATTTAATAATTTAATTTAATTTAATTAATTAATTTAACTAATTTAATAATTTACTAATTTCTGAAGCTTTTTACCAACTTTGATCAAATTGGTCTGCTGTCATTTTATTGTTGACAAAAGAGATTTTGAGTTTGAGTGTTGACGTTTCCATGTGGGACTGTTGCTGCAACACCAGGATGTTACTACAGAATACACTTTATATTGTGAGCACTTGGATGTTAGTCCAGTGGTCCTAAACTGACACACCTGCACCTGGATTCATTCTGACCAGATTTTAGCCCAACAGTGTTTCATACTTAATACATCAGACACAAACTCTGCAGCTGTCATTGTGTGCAGTGTGTGTGCAGTGTGTGTGCAGTGTGTGTGCAGTGGTGTGCAGGGACACCGTGTCCTATGAGTGTTATACTACAATAAACAGCCTGGCCGTGGGCATAAAGAGGGCAAAAACCCACTTATGCTCTAAAGATTCAGTTCTATTTCTCTTCAAATGACCTCAGAGCATGTGGAGGGTCATTAAATGCATCACAGATTACCTCAAGAACAACAGGCTGAAGAACATAAAACAAATGCAGAGTTTCTGTCTGATGGTTTGAACATGAAACAGGAATTATTGAGCAAAAACGGCCAGTTTACAAACTCTGTGGAATTTATGAACTAACATCAGCGCATTCACCTACAATACACGAATGAATATCACCAGTTAAACTGAAAAAGGAAAAAACCTGCATACAAATACGACAGCAGACTATAGCGAACAGCAGAGAAATGCATTTTATAGATGAAGTGTTGGCAGCGACTTCTGAAAAGCAACTCTTTCGTAATTTCGACTTATTAACTTGGAATTTTGAGAAAACTAACTGTCAATCAGTAATTTACGTGAATGACGTAATTTCCTTGTTACCCGGAAGCTGAAGCCCTCAGCTACAAATGCTACAGCTAAGATACCAGAATTACAGCCAGTCATAAATGCACAAATTGCTGATTATTGTCTGTGTGGCTTCACAAATGATGAAATCTTTCTGTTATTAGCTGAATCACATGGCGTTAATATCAGCTAACGTACTCTCGAAAGCCGATTTGTTGCGATGCGGGTTTGAGTGCGCATTGTAGCTGGATTACTGATTGGCAGAACTAACTCAAAATTTCGAGCAACTTTTCTCAAATTTTCGAGTTAATAAGTCGAAATTTCTAGAATGGATCCTTTTTTGTGGCGGAAACGGGCTTCCGTAACAGACTGGTGGAGGCAGAGAAGCTGCCTACAGACATCAGTCAGTGGATCCACAGTAACATCGACTCTGAGTTCAGCTGCTGATCATCAACTGTTTCTGTCTCGTTCCCAGACTCTGATCTCACATAAAACGAAGCAGATTTATGCTGAAACTAAGCTGCACACAGCTGATGTCAGCCAGGAAAACAGTACAGACTGCTAACGTTACCTTAACATGGAGACGATCAACTGCGCCACAACATTCACGAAAGCGAAAGTAAAAGCGACGGAAGGAAACGTCCAGAGAGGCGTTTGAGGGACGGTCAGAGTCAGGAACCTCAGAAACGCATCAGGCTGGAGTTTAATTCTGTTTTCATCTTTAGAAACATCTGGAAATAGTTATAAAAACGCTGCGTAATAAAGAAAAATAGTGTAGATTAGTTTGAGTTGTGTTTAGCTGAGCTGTGTCTTTAATCTGAAGTTCATTTTGTGGAGGAGCAGCAAGACTTTCAGTGTTACTCTCAGAGAAAGCCTCCCAAATGTCTGTTGTCTTAATAGTGGAATTATCTGGAAAATGAACCAGTTCTTATGAGCTGCTTTTCTGTATGAGCAGTCAAAGCATTTTATACAGCGTGCCTCATTCACACAAGCACTTCTTTTTCTAACAATGACACTATGATGGATGCATCGGAGAGCAAGTCGGGTTCCATATCTTGCCCAAGGATACCGTGGCGTAGTGATGGGCAGATGAAGCCCCATGAAGCACTGAAGCTTTTCATCCAATTGGTTCCCCCAACGCGAAGCTTCATGAAGCTTCATTGCTCTAGCAGACACCTACTGGACGTAAAAATAATAGCTGGCATGAATTTGAAGAGTGTGGCATTTTGCACAACAGCCTGTAAATGTCAACAACAAAAGGAGTGTGTAAAACATGTATATTGTAGTGATGCAGTATACTGTGTATATTTATAGTGGCAGTATGGGAAATGATTATTTGGAAATGCTTGAAATGGAAATGATCATTTACTGTGAGGTGAGGTGTGGTTGGGTGTGGACAGTGGTTGTGCTTTTGTAACGTTGAGGTATGGACAGCTACACACTGAGGCTTTGAGCCTCAGTCCTGCCTGTTCACATTTTATTCTGTAAAAACTAAATTTTCACTGCTTTTATGGCCTTTTTAGTGGGGAGAACATAGCTAGGATTTAATGATTTAACAAATCTTTTGAATCCTTTTCCTCCACAATGCTAATGCTGGGAGTCCTCAATCACCATGCTGACCAGTCTTCATCTATTTGAGATTGTTCTCCTGAGGAAAGACAATAGAAAGCACAATAAATATCACACACGTAACTTATAACATTGTATAATATGTTAATCATTAGCAACATACTGGATGCTATATTATCATGCATTGATGTCACCTGTCTTGCTCCACATCGTGTCCCCCTTATTCTCATGCAAGCTCTGTAGTGCCTAAGCATGGATGAGGTGTAGTTTATATCCCAGCTCCCTGGCACAGAGCAAACACTTCACCTGTACAAAAGTCAAGACAGCTCAACATAAATTGTATGCACATCAGTATCATGAAATACATCTTCTGTAGAAATTTACATACCTTGTTGGGAGAATAAATCAAAATGTTCCACACAGGGAGGACATCCTCCTCTCTTACTGGCTCCATTCTCTCCTGACTTTCCTCACTCTCATAAACCTCCAAACGGTCTCCAAACTCTCACTAACCGCAACTCTCCATCAAACACCCACATTTAGAATGAAGTCTGAGGGGTTTATATCGCTGTCATAGCTCGCGGCAAAGTTCGAACCACTTCATGAACCAGTCACGTGGTACAGCCGGGCAGCGAGGCTTCGGACGTCATCATTTTCAGCTCCTCCCATAAATGAAGCAAGCCTCGATACGCGCTTCGCGGAAACGCCCCTCCATTACTCGACACACGCTCCGAAGCCTCGATACAGAACGTCCCATCACTACCGTGGCGTGCAGACTGGAGCAGCCAGGGATCAAACCTCCAACCTTCCAGTTAGTAATTCTACCTGCTGAGCTACAGTCTGTACTTCCTGAACAACACACCCTCCTTTTGTTTCTTTATTTCCAGTAGCAACCAGGACCATAATGAACCCTGACTCCAACAGACACTCAGGATCCACCTGCCCAGTAAGTCACCCGCTAACTGCAACTATCAGAGCCCTGACCTTCTGCAGAGACGAGTCACACTGAACACAGCAAGTGTCCTGCCTCAGATACAAACTCTGCCTTTAAAAGTCAGATAATGAAATCAGCAGTTCTGGTTCTAGAATTTGTAGTCTCACACACTTTTGTTGTTTTGGTTCACATGGTTGATTCTGCTGCAAACAACTAATGAGACATTTTATAAACCTTTGAGTGTCCATCAGGATCCTGTAGAACAGCTCCATCTCAAATACTAAACATCATATTTACATTCTGTTTACTTATTTTAAAGTCACTCTAAGCACAGATTTCTTTAGCCGAATGTCTTTCTGTGTCTTCCATACAAACATTAAACATGAAACAACTAAATAGTAATACACACAACCACTGCAGAAATAAATAAATAAAACCAAACACAATCCAGACATGAATACACAAATATATTTAAATCTATGTATTTATACATTTAATATGATGTAAAGAACAAATACAAACCTATCAAACTACCAATATATAAAAAAACAAGATCAGAATCAGAATCAGAGAGACTTGATTATCCCAGGGGCAATTAACCAACACCAGGCAGCATGACGTTGAAGATAAGCACAATAGAGTGAGATAATAAATACACAGTATATACAGTTATAAAATTACATAGTTTTAAAATAAGTGACTGAAAGGTGATAAATAACTGTAATGACTAAAAGTGAGTAAGTGTTGGTAGTATAAGCGTAGTTTATGTTCTGTTGTGGGAAATGTCTTATCAGCTGAGTTAAAAGCAGAGTGGCTTTGGGACAAAGGTGGGGCTCTCCTCCTCTCAGTCCTGCAGAATGCAGCGGAGGTGTCGCCCAGAGGGATCCATTGAAATGCAGGGTGAAGAATGTGAGAGGGGTCGTTGATGATTTTGGCTGCCTGTCTAAGGCCGTTGATGAAAACTGAGCCAGAGTTCTGACAGGCAGCCCAATGATTTAGAGCACACTGATGCTGCAGTCTGTTCCGTATGAAGGCTGAGGGAGTGGAACCAGCAGGTGATGGAGAAGGTCATGATGCTTTCCAGGAAGGCGTAGTAAAAAGTCATCATGATGGGTGTGCTGACTCCAATTAAAAAAAAAACATTTTAATGTGAAAATTTTAAAAAATAATCTA